TTCCCGCAAGTAAGTACTGACCAGAGAGAACTAAAATTCTGGCTGTACTCTCATATTCATCCGGAAGTTGCCAATGAAGCGGTTTCTGCCATGGTGAAAGCTAATTTGGAAACAGATGACAACCCTGTTGTCATAAAACTTGTACCCAAGGGAAAGGACATCAGCACGCTGTCATTCGTATCCTTCAAAGTTGGCATCGACAAAAGATTGAAGACTAAGGCACTGGATGCTGCAACCTGGCCCGAGGGCATCATGTTCCGTGAGTTCGAAAATTTTGGTGCGCAAAAATCTCAACATCCAACGAAGCTTGCAAAACTGGATCCAAATACGCAAACACCCAAAACGGACACCCCAACAATGGACCAGACATAGTGAAGTTAAAAAACATTCTGGGACGCACCGATGTTAGCACCATGGAAGCCACCAATTCTCTCACCACAGTCGAGCCATTCGTGCCAGCGTTCTACAGTCGTCCCGGCCCTGTGTGTGAGTTGAAAAGGTGGTCTTCCAGTCTGTTACGTCAGGCAAGTATCATCTGTTTCTCGACCAGTACCACTCCTGATTCGTTCATTGGTTCCAGCGCATTATCAGTCATCAACCATCCATCGCCCACCTGTCACCTGAACACTCTGGGACGCATTGAAGTTAGCACTGCGGAAGCCCCTTCTTCTCCCGCCACAGTCGAGTTAATCCAGTCATCGTCCTGCAGTCGTCCTGGACCTGTGTGTGGGCTTGGAGAAGGGGTCTTCCAACCCGCAACTCAAGGCAAGTATGTTCGTGTCATCACCAGTTCCGCTCCTGATTCGTTCGTTGCTTCCAGCGCCTCACCGCCTCAAGAGCAACAACCGGCTGGTTCGACTGAAACGTCATACTCCGATGGCTTCAAATCCCACATCACCGATGGGACATACAGCACTGCACCGGATCTTGCTCGCCACGTTTTGGAACATCCCAGACCAGAACGCGTTGCCTGCTGCCTCAAGGAAGCCCCTGAGCCACTCAACCCAGTCGCGCTTGCTGATGCCTGTCATCGTAGTCGTTCTGGCCCTGTGGTTGAGAATGGTGAAGGGTTCTTCCAACCTTCTACATCAGGCAAGTATGCGTTTGTTGAAAACAGTTCTTCTCCTGATCCGACTCTGTGTTCCAGAGTACCACCATGCTCGTTTCGGCTAATCGATCATTCTGCAGACCTCCAACCGACTTCGTTCGACCGCCTGTTGGTGTATTACCAGAACGTTCGTGGCCTGCGAACAAAGATTGATGATTTTTTCCTGACTGTCGTTGACTCTGACTACGATGTCATAGTTCTTACGGAAACTTGGCTCGATGAACGCATTAATTCATCTCAATTATTTGTCAGTCTATTCACGGTATTTCGAAACGACCGCAACCACCAGAATAGTACCAAATCGCGTGGGGGAGGCGTCTTGATTGCGGTATCCAAACGCCTAAGCTCCTGCATCGATCCTGCTCCAGTTTGCACTTATCTAGAGCAGCTGTGGGTCAAAATAACGACGCCTCGTAGATCAATAAGCATTGGCGCTATGTATCTACCTCCAGACCGGAAATCTGATTCGAGCAGCATTGCAAACCATATCAGTTCGATTGGTACCGTGTTCTCTCGACTAGAACGAAACGACCTAGCTCTGGTATTTGGTGACTACAATCAGTCTGGGTTCTCATGGAACGTTCCTGCAAACGATCTTCCTAGCGTTGATGTTCTTCGCTCGAACATGCCCGCATCCTGCTGTGCTCTTCTTGATGGTTTCAACCTGCATGGCATAACGCAAATCAACTCGATACTGAATAGCAACTCTCGGCTGCTTGATCTCGTTCTGGCGAACGAAGCTGCAGGACTGGAATGTTCTATCCTAGAAGCCCCAGAGCCTTTGATTGGCATCGACACCAATCATCCTGCGTTGGAAGTTTCCATCAACCTATCTGTTCCTGTTCGCTACGATAACCCCCCTGTTGATGTACATGAGCTCGACTTTCGTAGAGCAGATTTCGTCGCGCTGAGTCGCTCGCTTGCCTAGGCAGATTGGCAGTTCCTTGACACGTGTTCATCTATTGATGAAGCCGTCAACTACTTCGCTGAGGTCGTCGACCGGGCAATAACTGATTCTGTCCCATTGAGGAGACCCTCTCCCAAACCCGTAGGTCCAATGCTCGACTACGGAATTTGAAGCGTCTGAGATCGAAGGCCCTCCGTAAATACTGTCGTACTCGTAACCCATTCACCAAACGATTATTTTCAACAGCGAGCAACGAATATCGCACATATAACCGCATTCTTTACAAGAGCTACACAAGGCGTGTGCAGGCTAATTTACGGCTTAATCCAAAGCAGTTCTGGTTATTCGTGAATACCAAACGAAACGAGGAGGGGCTACCAGTCGAAATTCACCTGGGTGATAGAATCGGCAGCAATTCCCTTGAGAAATGCAATCTTCTGGCAGAACATTTCAAAAGCATTTTCAATGACACTACGGCTTCGTTGTCCCAAGTTGCTGAAGCGGTGAGGGACACTCCCAGTGATGATTAAGAGATGAACTAGCCCCAGGCTAAAAATCTCTATAATAAAGACTAAAAAAAAAAAAAAAAAAAACTCCCAGTGATGCTTTCATTTTTTCGATTACCTTGGTTACAGTAGACCTCGTCGAATCCGCCATCAAGAAGCTGAAATTTTCTAATGCTGCTGGCCCTGACGGGATCCCCTCAAGCATCCTGAAGCGATGCTGTTCAGAGCTTGCAACACCGCTTTCGAAGATGTTCAATATTTCATTACAGCAGGGGGAGTTCCCTACGCGTTGGAAATCGTCATTCATGTTCCCGATCTACAAGAAAGGAGACAAGAGAAACGTCAAAAATTACCGAGGGATCACATCACTCAGTGCCTGCTCTAAAGTTTTTGAAATCATCATCAACGACGCATTATTCTCTAGCTGCAGAAATTACATGTCTCCTGACCAACACGGTTTTTATCCCAAGAGATCAGTTTCAACAAATCTAGCTCCGTTCATTTCTTTATGTCTTCGGAGTATGGAAGCTGGAGCGCAGGTGGACGTTGTATATACAGATCTTAAGGCTGCATTCGACCGGGTTGACCACTCCATACTGCTAGCTAAACTTGAAAAACTCGGTGTATCCTCGGGTTTAACTCGTTGGTTCAAGTCCTATCTGACTAATCGGGAACTTTGTGTTAGAATCGGATCAGAGCAATCGGACTATTTTACAAACAGCTCCGGTGTTCCTCAAGGTAGCAACTTGGGATCATTGCTATTCTCGATTTTTGTGAATGAGGCCGAACTGATCCTCCCAACTGGTTGCCGATCGTTCTACGCGGATGATGTGAAAATCTATGTGATTGTTCGTAGCTTCGCCGATTGCTTGCGGCTTCAGCACCTAATCGATACTTTCGAAGAGTGGTGCTCAAGAAACTATCTCACGTTGAATGTACAAAAATGTAATATTATCTCATTTCATCGCAAGCTGAAACCAGTGGCATTCAACTATACGATAAATCACCAACTTCTGCAACGTGTGGACAATGTTCGTGACCTAGGAATCACGCTGGACTGCGCCTTAACATTCAAGATTCATTACTCGGGCATTGTTGCGAAAGCTAACAGGCAACTCGGGTTCATTTTCAAGATCCTGCCTGTCCAAAAGCTCTATACTGCTATCTAGTGCGATCGATCTTGGAATTCAGCTCGGTAGTATGGTGCCCGTATCAAGCAGTTTGGATAGCGAGGATTGAATCTGTTCAAAGGAAATTTGTTCGGTATGCCTTTCGTCACCTTCCTTGGAATGACCCTGTGAGCCTTCCGCCGTACGAAGATCGTTGTCAACTCCTGGGTCTTGAAACACTAGAACATAGGCGGACGATTAGTCAGGCCGTGTTCGCAGCGAAAGTACTTATTGGTGATATCGACTCTCCAGGAATCTTGGCTGAATTCGAAATCTACGCACCCGAACGAGTTCTTCGGTCGAGGAGTTTCCTGCATCTTGGACCTCGTGCTGCGAACTACAGCTTGCATGACCCAATACGTTTCATGTCTGGGCGTTTCAACGAGTTTTACGAGTTTTTCGACTTTAACTGTGCAGCGGAAACCTTTCGTCACCGTATTCAACGCAGACTTCTGAGAAGGTGAGTAGCTGTACATTTAATGAACACGTGAAAGATTGCGCTACCTGTTTATTTTTTTGTTTCCGGTTCAACTGCATGACGAGGACTTCTACCTGATTCACGGACAACTCTATGCCATAGGAGGATAACTTTTTTTATGCTATAGACTTGATTAATGTTCGTTGTAATTGTATTGTATTGTATTATTGTGATTCATGTATTTCGAAAAGATATGGGGTTTTTACGCCTTTTCTAGGCTTTTCCCCATTCATGCTTTATTTAGACACGTTAAGTCCGATGAAGAAAAACAATATAAATAAAAAAATAAAATAAAAAAATAAATGATTCTCTGATAACTTCCGTTGGCCATCAGTTGACTGGAGCGGAAATCGATGAGAATACTGTTGCTTTGATGAGATGTTTGGTTGCGGACGAGATCCAAGTACTGCCCATCTCCGTGTTGTCCTCATTGGGAATTTCAGAGTCAGGGGTTGACTTAGACACTTATCTCTTCCATCTAAAAACTAGACGCCATAATGTTGGGAAAAGCTTCCTGTCACTTTTATCTTCCTTGATGAATATAAATATCTACCTGCATAGTACTATAGTCAGCAAACCGTACGCAATGGAAGTACCGTCACTATCAATTTGCTGGAAAATTACGAAAAACGAATTCGACTGGACACATCTCTGAATCTTCAAGAAGATCCTCTGCTGGTTGCGGAAAAGGTTGCTCGTGTAGAGATATGTGCCACTCCAGAAATCGCACCTTTTGATCAAAGCATTGGGTTACGATTTGCTTCGCTAAACGTGAATGGATGTAGGGGCATTGAGAAAAGGAATATGGGCGATAAATTCTTGTTGGCAATAATAGTGGCCAGTATATTAAATGACACTATGTAATATTATACGATAAAGGCACTCGTCTCCGGTAGGCGTTATATATTTTGCAATCAATGGATTATAATTCATTGGAAGACAACCGGCAGATTATTTTAAAAAAACAAAATAAATTTAATTCATTGTTCAGAACCACTGAACACAGAAGCACTGAATTATAGTTTTCACACAAAAGCATATCCTGTCAGCTCGTTTGATTTCCGTTGCTCGGATCAGCAGGTGCGTCGTCAGGATTCTTCGTTTTGAAACCAGGCTGAGATATCACTGCTGAACTACTTGCGGTTGCCTGTTGATCAAAGATAGCTGTTGTCATGCAATTCCAATCACATATAGCAATAGTTTAACACTTCAATACCGTTTTATTTACGCTGCTCGCGGGTGTACTCTCCATGTTGTAACTCTTACTTCCGCAACACAATTTAAACACCATGATTAACGTTTTGTAAAGATTTAAAAGAAATTTTTCCCCCGTAAAAAATGCATCCAATTGAACAGCTTGCTCCGGAATGAGTGAGTTGAAAAAGTTGAGCTTTAGAAAAGATACTTAACACACAATTGTCGGTGGCTTAGTTCAACAATGTCCCCTTATCAGTAAGATATTATGTGCAAACTTCAATAAACCGTTCATTGACTAGGGAGTAACAAGCGTGTCGTTCGCTTTCTTATATGAATCATTAGCTCCCAAATGTGTCAAGGCAAAGGAATGTTCATTCAACACGGTCTGGATTTTTTTTTTATCAGCAATCCAAACAGATAGCACGACGATAACAGGTTCCCCTCTAATTGAAACATTTGTCATAGCATGCAAATTACCTACGGCCTCATTCACTTTCCTCGGCTCGTGAAACCATCCTCCGACGACGATGAAGTTTCGCAATTTCCTTGTGTAGTTCCGCTGAAAGCGCTTCCGGATCGTCCAACAGATGGGCACTCAAAAACATTTCCATCAGAGTGGCCGATTTGGCGGCCACGTTCCGCAGCGAACTTCTACCGGGGAATATAACCGGAACCGCTAGATAGGGGCTGATAACGATTCGAATCTCGTGCGGAGTGAGATATCCCCTCAAAGTTAGCTGCTGCATCATGTCCAGGTACGCCCGGGCAAACTGCCATCTCATGCCGGATGATTCATGTTGTAGCAGATTGAGTGCATCCAGTGCAACCAAGCGCCGGGGAATTCCGTCGTTTCTGGCTGCAGGGGGAGAAGGGTTAAATGGGGCTTCGGCTGAGTCATCTCTTTGGTTTATGTTTACCACAGAGTAAATTAAGGGCTCTCGCCGGGAGGATGGAGATTTTATATGATCTTATGAATCGGTGGACAGCCATGGCGCACTCTCGCGGGGCAGATGTTTGAATAAGATAGTCGTACAGTTTGTAACTGCCGGATTCGATTTTCTTATAGATTCGTTCCAGGTGTTCTAGACTTCCGGCCGAGAGGAACAGTCCGAAGAAGGAAATGTCTGCACGGGTGAAATGGAGGAGGTGAATGATAAATTGATCAGAGGGGAATACAATTTGAGGTAAGCTGTACTTTCCGTCAGGTAGTCAATGCATTGCAGAAGCGATTCAGTTTGATTTTCGTTGACCACTCGGAGTCCTAGAGTTTCCAGCACTGATTTTCTGTAAAGAAAAGAAAGTGATGGGCTCACAACCAAATAGTATCACTGTATTACAGATTATTTTAAACAGCTGTATGTTTCTCATGCGGTGAATTGACAAAACATTGGAATTCAGGCATAAAATCTACGTTAAAATCAAAAATAAGGAGTAATTTTGATGATTTTTATTTTTAGTTGTGGCATTTCACAGTTGACCAAAATGGGAATTGAGCAGGAAAAATGCATTTAGAGTCTGGCATTTAAACATTACAAAAAATATGGCTACTACAAAACGAATCCTTATAGAGCAATTCCAGCTCAAATCGTTAAAAAAAATGTCAATTTTGTCTCGACCCCTTCTGATTTGAATGAAACATTGCTCACGTGTTCGCTGCTACTAATGGTTGCATTTTTCATTTAAGTATGATTTTTTCCTCCAGAGTAACTTTTGAAAAGGGCGTATAAAAAATGGATTATTTTTTTGCAAAAAATCATAACTTGAAAACAATTGATCTGATCAAAATGGCATATGAGAAAAAGTTTTAGGTAATTAAATTATCTTTGCGGAAAAAATACACTGAAAGAAAAAACTTTGTAAATTAGTATTTAAAAAACGTAAAACGATGATTATCTCAAAACACCCCCCCTTCGATCTTTATAATTTTTTTTTCAAGAAAATTGATGGAATACCCTTAAATTTCGTGAAAAGTGTATGCTGGTAACTTTCTTAAAAAGAAATCTATAATTTTTTAAATTTTTGTTGATTTTTACAAGTTGATTAAAATGCATATTTTTTAGTAAAATAATAATTTATTTGGATTTTATGCATAATTTTCGATAACTTTTTATATAAAAACTTTTTTCCTAAGTCCAGCCGTTCTCAAGTTAATGCGAATTAAAAAAATATAATTATAACAATTTTTAGGCCATTTTCAAATGTTCGTCGAGATGTCCAGCAACGAGATTTTTTTTCATGATTGTATATTAAAAAACAAACAATTCATTTTCAGATATGGTAGCTGTCAGACTTACCCGTTTCTATCTAGAGGCAGCGGAAGAGAAGCACGTTGATGTGGTCAAATGAAAGATTTGTTGAGATAAGAAACAGTATATAAATATATATATATATATATATATATATATATATCTGTAGCAGAATAATTACAATGTTGACATTATACCTATCTTCATTAGGTACAATTGATTATAGCAAACTTTTTTAAGTGTAAGTGTAAGAAGCCTCCACGGGGTGCCTTTTTATGTAGTTGTGATATCGCGGGATGAGCTCTTAAGGCACAATATGGTATACATCAGAGAAGTACCTAGAGAATTTATCTCAATTACAGGTTTAATAACATATTTGTTTACCTGTTTATGTTTTGAGCCTCTGTTATGACATACACAATTCTATCCAGGTATACAACTAATAGAGGACAGAAAAAAGGGACATGAGTGGGTTTGTTGATTATTTGGGTATATTTGAGAGTATTTACTTATAAACTTGTTTCTTTTCCGCTGCGTCTAAATAGAAACGGGTAAGTCTGACAGCTACCATATTTGAGAATGAATTGTTTGTTTTTTAATATATATTCATGGAAAAACATCTCGTTGCTGGACATCACGACTAACATTTGAAAATGACCCAAAATGTAGAAAATTATTATAATTATTTTTTTAAAATTGCATTAACTTGAGAACGGCTGGACTTAGGAAAAAAGTTTCTACATCCAAAGTTTTTGAAAATTATGCGTAAAATCTAAATAAATTATTATTTTACAAAAAATATGCAATTTCACCAACTTGTAAAAACCAACAAAAATTTCAAAAATTACAGATTTTTTTTTTAAAAAGTTTTCAGCATACACTCTTCACCAAATATTAGGGCATTTTTTCAGTTTTCTTGAAAAAAAAATTTATAAAGATCGAAGGGGAGGTGTTTTAAGATAATCATCGTTTTACGTTTTTTAAATACTAATTTACTAAGTTTTTCTTTCAATGTATTTTTTTCGCAAAGATAATTTAACTACCTAAAACTTCTTCTCATATGCCATTTTGATCAGATTAATAGTTTTCAAGTTATGATTTTTTGAAAAAAAAAATAATCCATTTTTTATACGCCCTTTTCAAAAGTTACTCTGGAGGAAAAAATCATATTTAAATGAAAAATGCAACCATTAGTAGCAGTGAAAACGTGAGAAATGTTTCATTCAAATCGGAAACACTCATGTCCAACCGGTTTGCGTTTTGGGCTGGAAATGCTCTATAGTTTTCCCCTCATTTTGGAGCCAATGAAGGGTGGTACAGTACAGTAATCATCCGATTTGGCCAGCCTGGTACAGGCCTGCTGGGGTGAGAGGCAATCACGCTTACCACTACATCACTGGCGCCGCTAACTTTGCATACTTATTTTCTTAAAAAAAATCTAGACCATCATCATTTTCTTCAAAATTTATAACTCAATAATGTTAAGTCCTACAAAAATGTAGTAAAACGATGATTTGTAGAGAAATAATTGAGCTTTCATAAGCAAATATAAATATAAAACTTGTATCATTGTCACTGTACTCTTTTTCAATAAATAAAATCATAGAAGAGTTCAATGCACCGGTATATATGGTAAGACAAATGAAAAAAAGGTGAAAGATCAAGTTATTCTTTGTACCACTTGTGCACGAAGGAGGCATGGCATCAATGAAGTAGACAAAAAGACTGTTTTAAATTTCTTTGATCGTAATGATTTAAGCAGGCAAATGGCCAAAAAGAACGGGTTCAGAAGCGACTTCCTATGATGGCTCTCAAAGAGGCATATTCAATATTTGAAGAAACGTGTGATATTATTAAAATTGGCTCGACCAACGTTGAGACCTAAATATTGTAAGCCATAGGCGTAGCCAGAGGGGGCGGGGGTAGCAATTTCCCCCTCCTAAACCCAGCAACACAAAGGCTTTCGGTGAAATGTCGTTCGGTGAAATGGCATTCGGCAAAATTTTCCATAGAAATTTTTTTTCGCCCCTCCCTACCTGGAAACCTGGTAGCCAAGAAATCTGTGCTGAAGCTTATGGGTAGCGTCAGATCACAAGTTCACTCCTTGATGTACGATTTAAGGAACTGCGAATTATTTTCATCCAATTTAAAGAGAATACTATAGAGAACTTTTTTTATAGTTACTTTAACGCTCTTGGATCATTCATGACTTGTCCGGGGGTTAAATAAAACTTGTAACTTTGACGTGAGAGGTATGGATGCTAACCACTACGCCGGAGTCGCCCCCTGTAGAGAACATTTAAATGAAATAAAAAATTGAGTTCATTAATTTTACATCGTTTTATTCCAATAATAAACTTTGCTTATACTTTCTGGGACGTCCTATAGTTTATAATTTTGTTGCCATAATTGGTGAGAGACATTCGAATGGAATATTAAGTGTTAATATAAATAAATTTGAAACTGTTTTCATTTCACAATGAAGTCAACACTTGAAATCGTTAAGCGAAAACGTTAAGCCTTTCTAAACTCGAATGCTGTGTAAATATCATTAACAAACCTTACACTGTTTCAAATCAATGCAGGTGCATTTTTTTACGTCGATTAAACAATCCATTGAAGTTATCCTCAGTGATTTTTAGTTTGATAAGCTAGCCCAGTTAGCGAGTGGAATCCGCTAACAGTGCTGCACTTTTGACCCAGTTAGCGAACAAGTACTGTATTTGTTGCAAACGGATGAAGGGTGAGTCAAAAGAATCGATTTTATGATACATGATTTTATTGCACCGTAAAGTGCCATAATCTTGAGCAGTACCTAATTTCGTGGTCCTTGTCAAAATTTTGCAGTGGTCCGTTCCAAATACAGTCAACTTTCACTCGTTGGGCTGAACCCGTAGCTCTTTTAGGTAGTTGGACTGGGCTGTCAAGCTGAAAATTGGTTGAGGGATACACCGATTGTTAATTTCATCAAATTAAAACGTAGCCCACTTAAACAAGCCCAACGAGCGAAATTTGGCTGTATATATTTACCAGATAAGTGAATAAAACCTATTCATAGTTTCCACTCAATTCAAACTATTCACAAAAATCACAAATTTGGAATTCTCCAAATAAATTTCAATTTCATTAAATTACGTACTGTCTGTAAGAACTGGGAACCACTGGCCCAAAACACGAGCTTTTCTGCAAATCACTATCACCGGTCAAGGTAACACATATTGCCGTTTACGAAACATGACCGCCAGCGACATCAAAACATGGCATTTCTTCACTTTCAGCCCACGGTCACTATCACGTACCACGGGAGAAATGTATAAAATCAGCACTTTTGTGGCGTGCCGCCCAAATATAGTTCCTAGTGTATGGTTGGCTCGAGACGGTTGCGGTCAGCTCAGTCGTTATTTTTTCCTTGGGCTGCGTTCAAGTGGTGTGATGATCATCATGCGGGCCTTGGTAGGAACGGTTCTGCTAATTTCGGTTGTCCTAGTGTCGATTGTTCTGATTAATGCCAACTCGAGACATGAGCGAAGCAGTGAAACGATTCCAGCACAAAATGATGACAGTAGGGCAGAAGTAGATAAGTCCGAAATGGAAGTACTGTTCGAAGGTTCTCTTGAGGATAACGAGAGGATGGGACTGAATCCTGAACAGGAGCGGAAATCTTTTGAGATGGAGGAAACCCTGACGGAGAGTGTGAAGAGTACCAACGGTAGCAGCTTATTAAACGCGATAGTGAAGGCCGGAAAGGTTACGGCAAGCGGAAAACTGCAGACCAGCAGCACTAGTAGAGATGTTTCCATGAAAGAGGAGAATCGAGTTGAAGAAGATGATGTGGAAGAACAGGTTGTGATCATACATGAGAATTCCGGTATTGATCCCGTTGAAATGTACGAGGATATATTGAACACTGCGAATGAGATTCGCTCTCCTACAACTCAGCCACTGACCACGGAAAGCGAATATTACAATGACGATGCACCGGCTCAAGAAAATTCTGAGCAGCAGGGTAATGATGACCCGAAAGAGACCTATTTAGAATCAAAAACAATAAATAATATTAAGACTCGATCGAAGGAAAGTCAATGGGCTGTTCGAAAATCTTCCCCGACTACCGAGCGACAGACCCCGTTAGGGTATGAGCCGGAGAGTTATATCGTTTTGGACGAAGAACCGAATGTGCCCGTTAAGACTAGACTCGATGAAGAATTATCTGAAGTGGATGGTAATATCTATTCAGTAGGTTAAAACAAATCATTAACATTATCCCGTTTCAGATCTGGATCCCACCAGCAGTATCAGCAGTCGTCCCTTGGAACGGAAGCAGCGAGCCGTGGTAGGAAGTCCCGAAACGATTGTCCTGAATCGGGCTCCAATAGTTCCCCATATTGGCACCTATCAGGAACCGGTAAGTACAAGCGGAATTCCAATTTTGTTCCACTTGTAAAACATTTACGTTGCAGGGATGCCCTCACATGTTTCCTCCATCATCGGCCTCTCGATATGCCAAATCGATGGAGCGGTCGCGCCCCAGCTATCCCGGGATGGCCTCGATCTATGAACCGAACCATTGGGATAATCAGAACATGAACGTGCTTCGTTCCACGCATTGTACCGCCTGTCAGCGGAAGCAGGTTCCACTGTGCGTTACCTGTGGCCGATGCAGTGAATGCTGCGGCCAGAGCGGCTGCACCTGTGGTTGTCTGAGTTCTCAATAGCTACTATCATAGAATAATTCAACCGATGCAAGATGACTGATATCAGTGGCGTATAGTGATTTCTGTTATATTAGTTTAATAAAAGTATTGATCATTGACTTACTTTTTCCTGCAGAGGTTCAATTTTCTCCGTAAATGGCGCCACACTGGTGACATTGACCATTGTTTTGAATTTTGACACGAATCTAAAAGTGGCGTCGTGGCAGGTATTTTAAAAAGTGGCTACTTGATCTAAAAAGCGTAGAGACAGTCTGGCGAGAGAAGAACGGACTGGTTGATATATAAGAGGGTTGACATTAGAGAGGGTGTAGTTGATATAGGAGAAATGGATGTAATGTTGACCTAAATGCCCCTAATTTGGGCACATACATAAATTCAGCAATCGACTAAATTTTCAATATTCATTAGTACTGTCCCAGTGACGTGTTCATCTAGATAAAATTGATAGATAGCAGATTTTTAGCGATGGGTCCAATCTTAGCTCCTTAGGCCAACATTAGAGCCATTTCCTCTAGTTGTTTGTGGATTGTGCGGAAGTTTGGACGAGATTGTTGAACAGAATCGAAGAAAGGACCGATATCACTTTGGAGCACATATTGGATGAGTTCCAATGGCCCTTAACATGATACACGGGACAGCAATGATTAAGGCAAGGCATTCAATGTGCTCAAAAGCTGGCAGTTTATCGGGAAGCGTGCATCTCGGTACGAAAAGCGATCCCCTGGCCCTGGATCACCGACTGTGTCAAGCAAGATCAACTGGTCTGGATTCACTTTGCTGGAATCTCGGTTCCTTGCATTATGCCAACATCAATGTCGAGACTGCATGCAATATGGTCACAACCCGAGTAGCAATTGGGGTTTTATGAGGGTTCTGCAGACTATAATTTAGACTTGTAGCATGCTTTAAAACCATGATGAAACTTGCAATGTTACTTGGGAAGGGCGGGTGTTATTCCAGTGCGAGGAAGGTGGTTCCTACCAGGGACATCCCGGGAAATTGACCATAAATCACATTTCACGATTCCCGGGAAAATATGCGTATTAACCGGTTCAAACATAGATTTTGCTCCACCAAGCTCAATTGATTCTAAATCAGGTCTTGATGATTCTTGTAATTTGGTTGTGAACCCATACTGCACTGGTCCTTGCAAGTTTATACGAGAATTACTATAGGGAATGTGAACTTTTTGTTCACCTCGTCCTAGCCTTTTATCATAAAGATTTACGGAATAGTTTGCTTACTAGCACATTGTTGCACAAAGCTTAAAGAACTATTGATTTGAAGCAACTTTGCTGAAGATGGAAATTTGCTATCTCTAGCGGTGTTCGTTTTAAACTGATTAATATAAGTAACTTATGATGACCACTGAAAAATCGGATTTTATAAATTAACTTTTTATACATTGATTTCTCGTAAATGATTTATTCTAGGTAATTTTAGAACTTTTGATGGTGCATGTTTTTGTTAAAGTATGCAAGTTGCTGTCTATTTTAGTTGAAAAGTTATTAATGCTCTTCATGAAATAATACGCTCTTTCCTAAAGTGAATTAAATTAGTTAAACAAAACAATATCTTATAGAATATAAAACTATAAATGAATGAAATCACGATATTTGAAATGTAAAAGTAGTGTAAAATTCCACCAGTTCCTTTTTGAGATATTATCTTTTTTAAATAGCACATTTTCCAACAAAAATCATTTATAACACTCCGGCAGAAAAAAAGATTGCAATCTAGTTACTTCAGCAAAAATCAAAAGTTCTTAAAGTTTTTAGAACATATAGAACACATGCGAAAAATCAATGTAGTCACCCTATACTACATTTTCAAATACAGTTCAAAACGAGAACCATGTAAGAGATATTATATTTTGCGTAACACTTGAAAAGGGCCTATGTCCAAAATGTAATCAAACCAGAAAATGAATTTTAAGTTTTTCCGCCACTATTCAATTCATACATAAGGAAATTGAAATATTTTAGGCATTTATATTGTTCATAAAAACACTCGTATCTGTATCTCAGTAAAAACCATCCAAAAAATGCGTAAAGTTTTGAAACATATGAAAATCAATAACAATTTAATTTGTATAAATTAATAAGCCTTTTTGTCAATCTTTTAATTGATAGGCTCTTTTTGTTGAGCCATTGTGCTTGTCATAAAAATGATACGCCATTTGCTAAGCCTTTTTGCAACGTCAAATAAATTCAAAACCAATCATCTCCTGTCTCAAGCAGTAGGGCCTATCCAAGTAACAATTTAACAGGCTTTTGGCTTTAACTCTGATTTATTTTGGTTTTATAACGGCAATTAGCAATCTTTTAAGTTTAAATACAGCATTTAAAAGTGTAAAACAATTCTTGATTAGCAGTTCAGCTTTTTGCTGTTTTAAAAACCTTTTAAGCCTGACAAGAAAATCAGAAAGTGTCTGGTTTAAAAAATGAATTTAATGCACCACTCTATCCCTTTATAAAACTGTTCAGTAAATCAAAAGTCTTATTGATGTCACGACAAAATACTCCATAAAGGTGTTTTAACATTATTAAAGCAATTATAAAACCGTTCGGTTTCAAACGGGATCAAAAAGCATATATTGATGCGTTTTGGTGTCAATGAAGTGTATCATAAAACTTCCCACTGTTTGCAAATAAAACTAATAAGATGGATCCACCTAGGGCCCATGCATTAATTATGTCACGCTAAATCGATAAGAAATTCCCCCCCCCCCCCTATCGTGACGTTTTCCTATACCTAATGCATTGCTTGTCACTAAATCTTAGACCCCCCTCCCCCTAAAACGTATCATAATATATGCATCAACCCCTAGAGACAGAGAAAAACATAATCGATTGGGGCTTTTAAACGCAGAATCGCAAGAAAATGCCAAAGGATAATCAAGTAATAATTCTAGTAAAATCGGTCAACAACAACAGAGCAGCCGACTGAGAGAAGCGAAGCTAATGCGGTTTACGAAGCACTGGAAGCCATTAAATTATACGCTTAAAATTGATGGGAATACACAGCATATTGCCAATGGCAGCCTTCTCAAGAAATATCGTTGCGATCCAAATAGCATCAGTGCCAAACTGGGACTGTGGAAAACTGCGGACAGGAAACTCTAGAAGCTGTCTGTCAGCTGGAAATTGACTGCCTTCCGAACCATAGCAATGATTTCATTCGACGAAAGGGTTAAATGTTCGAAAAATTTCAAGCAAGCGCACATAAATTTCATCGCATCATCCGGAAGAAGAAAAACTTTTCGGGAATGATTGAGCATGAAACCTGTTCCAAGTTACGTAGATACACTTACTGAGTTACTGCTTCCAATAGATGAAAATCGTCCTTATCGAGAATGTGACACTGGAGTAGAACCCTGTTGAAATGATCGCACGACAAAACGATCGAAAGATAAACAAATTTTGACGTTTAACTTTTTCCAGGCAACTTTGCCACCATTAATGCCGTCATAAAACTAAACGGAATAGGATCAAGCAAAATGGCTTCAGATAAAAACAATTCAGTCTGTAGATTATCTTCATAAAAGCCGCATTAAAATGCTTTGCATTTGTTAGCGATTTCATGAAAGCATCCATGGCTTATGGAAAATTAATGTTGATACCATCGCCATATTGTTATTTTTCAATTTGCTTTTTTACAATCTTCGTTTTTCAATATGTTTTTCCTAAATTAAAAATAATTAGTCAAATCAACGTTTTCCGAAGGTGGACTTATTTTTTTCGATCTTCCGAAGCACATTTCACATTAGATTTAATCTGTCACCTAAAAATAAACCACAATTTGAGTTTCGATAATTTTAGTAATTCTTTCACTTTAATGATGAGGAAATTTATGAGGATTTTGGACAGATTCATTTTTGAACAATTAATTTGGCAAGGTCGGACGATATTTATGTATCCCTTTTCATCTTGATTGAGTTTTATTTTTAGCAAGCGTCAAAGGCAAATGGAACAAGTTTTGATGCCAAATGGTTTTTATTGTACTTTTAATAAGGATTTAAAACGGTTCTCAATGCATTCGTTATAACCTTTTTACAGTAAGTCATTCTTGAATTGTCTCGATAATACACTCTTTAGAACTTTCTTCAGGGTGGGCCAACTAGACAGATTCTAGTCTTAATGAGGTGGTGGATGTAATAAAGGCCAAGCGCACTTGACCAGGGTTTTATGAATGTTGATTTATAGAAGCCTTGAAGTACTTCATAAAACGTTAAATGTTACTTGGGTAGCTTTGGTTTGAAAATTTTCAATCATCGGCCCTTCTACGTCACTAGGCTTATCAATGAAATGAAAAAAAAAGTGAATGAATGGCCGTTTTAGCGTTTTTATTAATGAATCGAAAATTTCTTTGATTGGCCGTTTCGAAAATTGAGTTATTTTTAATGATTTTTATCGATTTTGCGGAACTTTCCTTCACGATTAGTAGCTATCAAGCGGTGCTATAGAATGGTATCAAAACCCGATTTGTTTACGTTTTGGACATGGGCTCATTCCATATGTTACTCTTGATTTGTATTTTGAGCAAAGTTGCCTCAAATAAATTGTTCTAGAAAATTTGTCGAACCTTAGCCTGGTCTATCTCGAATAACTAAAAAGTTTATATTTTGAACCATACCCAACAAACAATTTTAGCTGCAGCTTAGCTTATACAGGCGAAAATTAGCTGCATAAGGCAAATTTTGGCTGTATAAGCTAATCTGCAGCTTAAAATGTTTGTTGGGTAGAGACCAACCTATCGTCACTTGCATCAAAAGATCGGTAAAACAATATACCGTGGACCCCCGGTAATCTGATTGTTTCTAATCTGAACACTTTTTAATTTGAACCCCGCTAATCTGCACATCGTGCAAATAAAAAATTGCTCAAACGTCATTCCAGTCATGGAATGGAGTAAAACGAAATGAAACGTTGTGATACGTAACGCATAATGAAAACAAAATAGCAAATAAGGCTACCAGAAACACGTTTTTTTGATGCTTATAGGATTACCAGAAGTTCAAATTAAAAATTATCGT